GTTGGGTCAGAATTTTGGACGGGTGCAATTTTGTGAGTTTAGTTGTAATAAGTTTGTAATTACTGTAAAATTGCCCTAATCGATCAGCCCAGATCCTTCGAGACGCAGCCGTTTTCAATTTCATGGAATAGAACCCTAAAACCTCCGAATCAATCCCCAATCAAGGACTTGTGTTCATCTGGTTTCAAAACCTCTAGGGCTTTTGTCTGTCTCTCCCTTCACAGATTCTAGCTCAGGTGCAATTTTCACCCGGAGTAGCAGCAGCAGCAGCAGTCATGGGGATTATAAGGAGCAGTTTCTCTTTTCTGGCAGGGACGGCCTGTGGAATTTACATCGCGCAAAACTACAATGTTCCCAACATCAAGAAGCTCACAGATACTGCACTTTTCATGGCGAAGCATATCGAGGAGAAGTATCGCAAGCCCAAGAAGAAGGATGATGAATAGTGCCTTTTATGAAGAGAGAACAGGTTTTTTTTCTTATATTTTTTGGAAATCAATTCCGGGTTGCCGGGGATATGATCGTTTTGATGGTAGTATACAATTGGGAGATTTTGTTTAAGACAGGAAAAGAATTAGCAAACTGTGGAAACCGGTATTATGAAGGGCCTTTTTGATTGTTGACAACATGCTAAATTTGGATAATTTATGTTAATGAAAAGTTAGAGCTCTCCATACCCAATCAATTTTAGATTTATAGGATTATTGTTGGCGCTGTTGCTGATGCATGCAGTGATTTTAGATTCATTAAACCCCCTGGAAAGTGGAAATTTGAAATCCTATGCATTGTGTGATTTTGGGATTTTTCTTTTTGTTTGTATGTTGTCTGTGTGCAGTTTAGCCTTACTAGGGAATGAATGCAGCCAAGATGACTTAAGAAGCCATAGTGCTCTTTAGTAGAGCATGCGTCTGCTACTTGAAATGTTCTTACTAGATTTGATGTGCAGGCTTCCTTGAATGATTTTGAGGTGTTTGTCCTGTAAAAGTTATTAGTTTGTTAGGCGATGGAGGTATCTGGATATGCCAATTGATCTGGCAATAACTCACAGAGTAATAGTGTTGTAAGGAGGCAATAACTATTCGGTTACCTATCAAACTTTTGCTTGAAATGGTGTATGATTTCTTAATGAATGGATCAATGCCTTGAATGTACTAGGCTACTAGCAGTAGATTAGGGTATTTTGCAATATTTCAGTCACTAGCTGTGTGGATTTGATTGAACATGGTTGTGGTTTTTCTTGGAGAAGAAGTTATGGTGTTCATAAAATGAGCTTTCAGTGCATCATATAGCATTAGCTAAGCATGCCTCTATCTCTGTTGCCTTGGGGTCATCAACAAAATTCTTATAATTAAATTAAATCAACTAACGAGTAGTTGTTACATGTAGTTATTAATTAGTCTCAACGCCATAAAACTGAATTGTAACGTGAAATATACAATCTAAAACTCAATTCTAGAGGGATTTGAAGGATAAGTGTTTGAATTTCATGCAAGTATATGTGAACCTTTGGGCATTTTGTCTCGATAAGAAATCAGTTAGCTCTCTGAGTGCATGTATTGTGGCTGAACCATTTAAGCAATGGATTCTTCTACTAGCCACACCAATCTTTCTTTTCCTTTTGTTTATTTATCTCTGAAACATAAATGTATTGTAATTTGTCTTCAATTCATGCAATGGTCAATAAAAGGATGCCCTTTTAAGTTCTATATGGTATGTACAGCTCTGGCAAGAAAGAGATTCTTCACTGATGGGTAACACATGCTAGATCAGCATCTTTAGTGTTCTTCTTCTTTGTTTACTTGTTCAATCCTAGTAACTTTCCATTGTTTTGCTTGTTTTAATGCATCTTCCTGATTAAATGTTAAAAGTTTAGCTCTCACATCTAGGACTGTCAGTACAGCTCGTACTTGCATTCTTCCCTCTCCAAAGCATAAGAGTTATAAGGATTCTCTGTGCAGATAGACAAGCTTTGATGGATTGTAGTACAAATTTTACTCTGAGATTGTATTAATTAGCTGACTATTCTGTGCCATCACAGCATTTTTCTTTCAATACCTTTATTGAATGTATCTCTTCATCTTAGAAGCCTATCTATATTAATGATCTTTTTAATTTACTATCACAACTACCCAGTGCATGCATCTTACGCAGCCTTTCATTGATATCATGTGAACTTGGAGTTGCTCCTTCGTATGCTACTCTCTTATTATCTTTGAAGGGATAATATATATATATATATATATATATATATATTCTCATGACTACAAATGCTTCAAGAAGGCATGTAATGGTTGCCACATCTAGAAAGTATTTCTTGTCACAAGGGAGTAGAAATACTGCATAATTTTACCAATGGTGCCACAAGGACCATACCTCATGAGATAGCATTAATTTTCTGTGATGCTGTATGAGGATTGGCCAATAAAAACGTTCGATTTCTGTGATGCTGTGTGAGGATTGGCCAATCTTATATGTTTCTTTTAAAAAAAAAAATAAAAATTGAGAGTTAAATGCTTGGCAATATGGGATTTTAAACCTACCTTGACTCCAAATCTATGCTTAAATGCTTTCTATTCTCTCTCCCTCTCTATCTGATGCAGTGATGCTGCAATTAGCAGCTTGTTGGTTTAGTAGATTTGGGTAGGCTTGTTCTGTTGTTGGCTGGTTGGCCCTTTCAAGGTGGAAGTATCTTTACCCAATTGCCCTAGGCTATTGGGCCTTCAAGTAGATCCAGCTAGCCAGCTATAATCTCCAATAGACAGGTATTTTGAGGCCCAAGCCCAATCAACAGCTTATTGGCATTTTTTCCTCAATAAACATATTGTTTTTTCCTCCCCTCCCTCTCTTCATTTCCCACAATGCAAACATAATTAATTAATGGACTAAAGACATTCATTTTTATCTGATTAGGAGCTTTTTTTTATTCATTTGATAAAGAGATAGATTACTACTAATTTATCTTTTGTTATTTTTTTATTCATAACATTCATTTAATGTGATTGAGAGCTTTTTTTATTCATTTGATAAAGATTAAAGAGATAGATTACTACTAATTTATCTTTTGTAATTTTTTTATTCATAACATTCAATTTTATCTGATTAGGGGCTTTTTTTATTCATTTGATAAAGAGATAGATTACTACTAATTCATCTTTTGTAATTTTTTTATTCATGTATGTTTTGTCAAAATTGTTCTTATATCCAACGAGAGGTCTAGGTGTAGTGATAAGGTTGAGAGCTCATGACCTCGAAGTTGTTACTTGTACCTCACAGTATGGTATGGTTCTTATTATAATTTAAACACACTCTAGTAGGATTTAATTATTATAATTTGATTTTTACATAAAATTTAATTAAATAATTTTATATGGTAAATTAATAGTAATAAAAATTTTATATTTTTTTATTGAGTATTTTTATTTAGATAAAAAAATTTTAATTATTATTTATTTATTATAGCAAATTATTAAATTAATTTATATAAAATTAAAGAAGTAGGATAACTAAAAGCATTAAAGGAAGTGTAATTCCTTGTAATTTGATAGTGATACACTTTAAAGATTGAGTTATATTTATTAGAAGGGTGGTGTTATAGTTATAGAGACAATATTTTTATACAATTTTTACATGTCATTAAATGAGTATATGTATTTAATATTATGGATTTCACATGAATTAAAAAAATCAATCATTTTAATGACATGTTAAGTTGTAAAAAAAAATAAAATAAAAAAATTATACAAAAATTATTTTTCTTATTAGAAAAGTTAATAATAGAGACACTCGAACAGTTTAAATAATAATAATCATAATAATAAAAAGAAAATAAGATGGTCTTAATTTTTAAGTCATGATTTTATCTCTTAATAGTTTAAACTATTTTTGTGGTGTAAGTTTAGCCAAAACGGAGCCTTAATATATGGTCTACCATGTCGCCTTTTAAGCCAATGTTTTAAACACAAACGCCAAGCGTGGTTTTTAATTGTAGTTGATTTTTGAATTGGAACCCACCTCCACTGATGGTTTTGACAAAATTCTGGGTTCAGGGTCAAAATATGTGGTCCATACGAAATTTAGCACTTGATTGATTAATTAACTTTTAATTAATGGATGAATTTTAAATTAATTAATTGCACATCAAAAAATAATTAATTAATCAATTAGGTTAGGTAATTGGCCAAAAAAATAATATTAATCAATTAGGCTAGATGACATTTTCCTTTAATTAGTGGCTGACAAAACACTAACCTTTGTAGTCCAAATCTATATTCCTCCTCTCCATTTTTTCTCTTAGTTAATTCTCATTCTTTAAATTACAACCCCAAGTAAAACTTTATTCTTTAAAGTTTAAAGGATAAAAAATAACAAACAATCATTGCTTTACTGTGGGTTCTTTTTTAAATAATTAATTTCTACTATTTACATGTGTATGATAAACCTTTAATATGGTTAGATCCAATGCATATAAAAGAAATGATGAAAAGACCCCTCCACCCAAAACAATATTTTTCATTAATACTACACTATGAATTAGTTGTCCAATTTGATATTTTAAATTATATTTTATGTAACATAAGAATGGTAATTGAATTTTTCATGTATAATTTATGTGAGTAGTTTTAATGCGATAAATTTTAATTATTATTTAAGAAAATTATTTGCCATTTTTCTTAAAAATCTTTTATGTAGTGAATTTGTAAAAGAAGAAAAATGAGAAAATTATTAAAAATGGACTAAAACAAAACTTATTTAAAATTTTTTTTTACCTCAAGCGTGATGAGCTGACAAATTTTTCATTTTATTGACTAAAGTTGATTGAAATCATAATGTGATAATATTTCGATAAGGGCATAAGACTAAACAAAATGATATTTTGCAGCCCCACAAACACCACAACCTTACAATTAGTAAGGCCTGCTCATGATCTCACAAGAACCTCATTAATCATGTGAATCATCTTTGATTGTCAATGCCATTTGGATTGTAGAAAACTTATGTGTTAAGCTTATAATTATTGCGTAAATGGCCCCTTTTTTTTTCTTTTTGATGTAAATGGCCTACCTCGCTAACAGCCAAGAAATAGCTGAACATTTTTTTTATAGTTTTATTTTAAGTGAATTTTGTTGGGCACACCAATCCCATTCCCTGATAGCCAAAATGATACATGGCCTACGTTTTTAGTTGCTATGAAAGGGGCCAGCATTGTTTGCATCTTTGATGGCAACCGGTGGGATGCACAAGTGATGGTAAGTGCATGTATAGATATAAGAAACCAAACTTAGGTTATTCTCCACCTTAGCTTTTCCCTCTTTGCGTGTGAATTTGCATTTGCACATATCGTACAAAACTCTATATACAGACCCTCACCTTTTGTTTTTTTTTTGGGTAAAACATAGACGCCCACCTTTACTGACCATGACACACATTCATTATGGATAAAGTCCCCGTGGTCTCTTTTCTTCGAATCCAAGACAAACAATTCTTTCTTCAATAATCAAGATTTTTTTGCCTAATAAAAAGATACAGGGCCATATATTTTCTTTTTCATACGTACAGGATAATTTGATGGTGGTGCTTCATTCAAATTACAAGAATGTACATAAAGATGGGCATGGAGCATCTTTCCCATCCTCCTTGTTTCCTTTTACAATTTTCCCCTTTTGACAACTTTTCCCCATTCATATAACACCAAGCAGAAAAAGAGAATAGCCATCCTCTATGCATCAATGTTAGATGCAGAAGGGTAAAAGGCATCATCTCCTGCTCTAGCCATAATCAAAGGGTCTTCTCCTCTTCATTTTACAACTAGAGCTAAGAAAGACATTAGAAAATAACACATCTTAGATATAAATACAATAGCAATTGCTCCCCCTAAAGTATCACACATCTGGTTCTGAAGATCTTGATATTGACCCTCCTTGTGACCTTGATTCAGAAATCTTTGCAGCCACCTCGGCCACAACAAGTCTAGTTAGCAGCAGCCCTGCAATTAGGGCTGCGGCCATCAGCATGGTAAAAACTGCACTCCAGCTCTTCTCAGAAATGTAACCTGTTAATACTGGTCCAATTGCAGCCCCTACAGAACCTGTTCCATCTATGATAGCTGTCACAGTCGCTAATGCCCTTGAGTTCCCTTCTAATGAA